ATTTTAATTGTCTTTGTGCTCATGTGTTCATTTGTTCATCTGTAGGCAAAATATCTTGTGAATCAGTGGCCAACTTTGAATGTAATCACTGGAAGTTTGCCACAAATAATTGATCTTAGCCCACCAAAAATGGCTGTAGCTCATTGAATTTTACAGATGCWGAGCACATATCTGTTGTGGTAGTAGCTGAGAGTCATGCATAAACATGAGCTCAAACAGATTAGGTGAGATTTTTGTTTTGTGGGAGATACGCATTTCTTTTAAAAAGCTGTATTTTATGTTGTCCATGCAATGRATCTTCCACATCTTTAAAAACAACAATTTTAGCAGCAGATTGATTAATGTTTGTCTGAATGTGTTCACATTGTGATGGGAGTTATGATAAAATTTTAGATTTGAGTGTGAACATTATTTATTATTCAAGTGTGTGCTAAATGTTATCAGACTGTTTAACCAAACTCAAAATGAAGTTTTTAACCACAGGTTCATWAAGATGGAAATATCAATATAATCCCATTTAAARACCAAAAACTTTTCTAGCAGAAGGAAAAGAGTTACGACCAGAAAAGGGTTTCAGTTCTTCATTAAGCTCTATTCACTGTGCATTACCTAAATATTGGTTTCATAAAATAGGCTTAAATTTTTTTTGTGTCTCACATTTCTATCTTTATATCTCTTCTTTTTTGCAGGACCATCTTCAGTAATCAGCAATGATGATGACTCGGCTTCTCCTCTTCACCATGTCTCTAATGGCAGCAACACGCCCTCCTCCTCAGAAATGGGTCCTGACGCCGTCATCATTGGCATGACGAAGATCCCTGTGATAGAAAACCCTCAATACTTCAGGAGCACCAACAGTCTGCTSAAGACTGACACATGTGAGTTTAAAAAGGACAAAACCCTCTCATCTTTAGCCCACACATACATAACCACTGAACACGCTATGATTTGGAAAATCCATCAAGAGCAGTACCCCATAATTTAAGTTTGGTTGTTTGGCACACAGAAGTTGCAACGTAAAGATATTTCCATTCTGGAAATGTACTGATCTTAGAAATAAAAGAGAAAAAAAAGCTGTCACTTCTGAGGAAAAATAGGAAAAAAGAAATCCAGCTTAAATACAAGTTGACGTTTGTAAATTGGGAACACATTTGTTCATTAGTGTAGGACGTTCATGTTTGACTCACCGTGTCCACAGAAAGCAAACACGCAGGAGCTGGGATGATCACCATGTGTTTTATATAACTGCACAAAATGTAAGCACAATAAATTAAAAGAAATATGAATGCATTTGGGAAAAAATACAGGAAGAACCAAAATCAAAACAAAAGAAATATAAAAAAGACAGGACCAGTAGTAGACAAAAAGGCAAAGATCTTACAAGGTTATTGACCTGCTTCATCATCAAGACATTATGATTATTGACAAGTAATAAAAGCTTCTCCAGGCTTTGGCCTTGTGTTGCAGTAAATTATGGCTTTGTGCACATGTGTGTTATTTTTGTTGAGAGCTACATTTAGGAGGCAAACTAATGGGAGACTATAGGTTGACCCTCCTTCATCCTGAGAAATAACTGAAAGACTAACTGGGATTTGCAGCCCAACGACAAGAAGAAAAGAGCAGAGGATCAATAAAAGTCAATAATGCTCTGCAGTGTACTCGCATGYGCCTTCACGTGTACTTTTTATAAATATTACAGTCATTACAGTGATTACTCCATGTGCCTTTCGGAGTCACTCACGAGCAATGTGGTTTTAATGGTGTAGGTAGCTGACCGATTATTTGGCACTCACGTCTTTTAGACCAGCACAATGGTCTTTGATGAAGACCGTTTGGCAAAGTGGCTCTGGGTTGCTCTTTAATCATGGCCTTAACCAGTTTGTCTCTTCAGTAGTGGGTATACGTTGCTACTTAAATGATTGCAGAGACCTCTTCCTGGCAGCAATAAAGCAGCAATTACTGTGCAGAGATGATGGATCCATGTGCAATCATGGAAAATGTTGGCTCTGTTGCACGGCTTAAGTTGTTCGGCTTTCCTCTGAAGTGAGCTCCTCATTAACAATAATAATATCAGAGGAGGTTGGATACCATATAACAATGCATTAGGAGGCATAAAACATGCTAATTTGGGAAGGTGATAAGGGTTGTTTTTATGACTCCCCAGTTTCTCCTGTTTATACAGTCCACTCTGTGTCAGTGGAAATAAATACTCAGCAGGAACAAGAAGCTGAATGTCATAAGGGCATCTGAGACCCTACACATTGTCACTACGGTTCATATTATTGTCCTCTTTATGTTCACTTCTCATTGGCCACTAGCAGTGCCAGCCCTATCCARTTTGGAGCCCAAGGCAAGATTTCTGGTGGTGCCCTTTGTGTAATTTTCTAAATTTCATTATCAATTTTCATACATTCACTTAAACAATAAATGATGTTATTTTTTATCTTTAAAAACAGGTTGTCCTTTTAAAATCGTTAACATTATAATAAGGGATGCACACTATATCGACATCAACATCGGTATCGGCCGATGGTCATTTTTTAATATGTATCGGTCTGATAAGTAAAACTGGGCCAATATGATATTGACATTGATTTTTTTAGCTTTGTATTTCTGTTTTGGGAGGGGAAATGTTTGGTCGGGTGGTATTTGTTTGATAATGATAGTGTTAGTGAYGCTGCGTATTTTGGAATAACTGAAGTAAAGAGCCATGTTGGTGGCAGGGTTTTTTATGGTATCGAAAAAGACACGTGTGTTTGTGTGTATATGTATATAAATAATTTCTGTGTTTGTGTTATATGGCAAATATTGGTTATCGGCCATAACAGCAATAATAATATCAGATATAGACGTCAGCTGAAATTTTCATATCGGTGCATCCCTAATTCTAATGCATTTACATCAGAATACCTGAAGTCTACCTCATTACTGAAAATATTTACTGRCAGCGATGAGATACAACTTCATGTTAAGCATCTGTGGAGTGAAGCAGCTTTTGTCCCTCATTTGTGGWGCCCCTGGAAGGATGCCCCCCTTAGCACATGCCTATACTGCCTATGCCACTGGCCGACCTTGGACATAGAACCCAAAACACATTTAAAACAATGATTAAGAATGTTACACACAAACTGTGCAATTATTACATAAAATATCTTTAATCTAGAGTCCACAAACAGCTTCAAACAAGAGAACCACCATATTTCCCTTCTTGGTTTTCCATCACTAAATTCTTACATCACTTGTTTCCAAGCAGATCTCTTCGGGTTCGTGTTTTGTGTCATCCAAGGATTGGGGATTAATGTTGCTCTGGAAAAAGTTGGTCACACAGCCACACTCACAYGCAGCATTCACCTATTTACATGCACACAACACACAAACGTGCTCGCACATGTATTAAATTAGCTACACCTTGTTAGAGATGRCGTGTGTGACATCGATGGCAAAGGAAAATGTGAGGGAAAAATCAGAGTCATACGATCAGCCCTAATTAATCTTTGTAAAAGTTTGACATTTCTGGTCATCCTGTCTTCGGCGTGATTGTGTCTGACCTGTTGTGTTGCTTGGTTCCAGCAAAGAAACCCACAGTTTCTAAGCTCCTCAAGCTGTTTCGTGTCTGCCTGGGAAAAAGCCGATCCTRTGAGAGACGGTGGAACAGAGGAGCAGGCAGAAGGCAAACAGGCAACAATTATTTCCCAAGACGCTAATTTATTTGGGCATTTATGAGATGTATATCAGGGTGGATATTTAAGGTGTGCATAGGGGCTCTGTTGCAGAGAGATGTAAAATATACCAGAAACGATTGCTGGGACATCTTTATCTTCTTAATAACTGACCAAGCATAAAAAGGCGATGGAAAAAGATGAATGTTACAGCAAACTGAAGACAGAGACTGCAGTTCTGAGGCTTTAATTAAAAACTGGTAGGTTTATCAGCAGAGGTGGATAGCAGATACTAAATATCTGAGAATGAACGCAGGGACATTAAATGAGGGGGGAAAAACAAGTATCATTTGGAAAAATAAAATAATTTACTATAGAAAGCTTGATTGCCTTGCAGAACAAGWTCAAATTCTTTATTCTCACAATATGAATGGAAAACAGTTACAGTGTTGCAGTGCGCATCTAACAATGAGGAAACTGCTGAAAGAGTCAACAAGGCATCCTGCCAAGAAAAAAAAAAAGAAAAGAAAAAGAAATTGCAATAAGAGAAGCATTGGTTTGCACACATCAATTTATTTGCTATTTGAGGATGTTAATTAAGGAGAAGTGGTGCGAGGCGTTTTCATGGTTGAATACGTGTACAGCCACAGTAGGAAATGGTGCGGTGAGGTAATTAGCTAGTTAAATAGCGGGTGGCTGTCTTTTGGGGATGCAGGTTTATTGTGCGCTGCTGTTGCGTGGAGAATTGCGGCTGATCTATGACCTGCTAATGCTGTTTTTGAGATGGAGACTGAATGCAGTGACGAGTGAATGACAAAACCTGTCATCAATACACATGTGTGCCTTTTAAAGACACCCAAGCCGCAAGATTCCTCCCTCAGCTGGTCTCTTCAGCTGTTGTGTTTGGTTCAAAACAGAAAAATAAAACACTTTGATAGGAGTAAGTCTTTTATTCAGTTTACAAACTCTTTTTTCTCTCATTTAACCAATGTAGCTCTTTGATTTTCAGATAATTTTGCTAAAGCAAACTTGAATCACACATCTTCCTGCATAAGAAGTAAAACACAGGTAAATGCGTCTAGACAATTGAAATGTAAATCTGAATATTGCTGAAAATACGGCTGCAACTAACGATTATTTTAATAATCGATTAATCTGTTGATTATTTTTTCGATTAATCGATTAATCGGCCAAATCATTAAAACGCTTAATTACATGAATATGAGTAAATATAAATTAAGTTAACTCCTTAAGGATGCAAGTTATTGAT